TCCTTGATCCCTGAGTTCCGAGGTGAGCATGGCGCCCTGCGTCACCTAACGGACCCCTGGGGAGTCCAGGAGTGGGGCGGGGGGATGTGCGGAGGCCCGGCAGGACTCCAGGCAGCCGGCACTTGCTCCCACGTCCAGGAGCTCGGCCAGTAGGGCTCCCACCCCAGGGCTCACTCCACAGGGAGAGTCTCAGAGGAAGTCTCCCTCCACCGCTGCGTCTCTGTTTGCCTTTCTGTCTCGTCTCCTTCCCTCCTCAAGTCTCGGTTTCCATCCTTCTCTCTGCCTCTTTCCATCTGTCCTGAATCCATGAGCTACTGGACTGAGCCTCGGTCCCTCCCTCTGGCGGGCAAGGCTGCGTCACCTGACCCTGTGGTGCCCCGCAAACTTCATCGTCATCTCTTATCCACGGATCCATCATCACTGCAGGGAAGAGCCAAACCCTTGTGGGGCGTGACGCTCGACGCCACGCCCCACCAGCTTTGGACCCCGTGCGCCCCGGGTCCCCGCTCTCCCCCCGGCCAGCACGCCGCCTGACGGGACACATGGGCCTTTCCCTGGGGTCGGAGTCGGGGAGTCTCCTCTCTCCGCTCTCTTCAGGGCAGCCCTGCCAGTTCCGGCCGCTCCCGCAAGGCCAGGAAACACAGATCGACTGGGAAGGAACTTGCACAGGTCACGACTGACTGTAGACAATCTCAAGGTGCCAACAAAACCTCCTGTAGGAGGGAGCAGGCTCAGCAAACACACACGCCGACGGCTCCTCGTGCTGCAAGGAACACGCGGAAACCAAACGGAGACACACACGGTCCACGGCCACGCCCCGGGAAAACGGAATCGACACATGAGCGTACCGGAGCGCGGACACAAGTGCGTTACCTTGCCACTGGCTGACAAAGTGTTGTGGCAACGAGTTACCATAAAATCTGAGCAACAAGAGGTGCTTGCATTCTAAAGACTGCGTCCTAGACCTCTTTAAAGCAGGTCTTTTTGGCAAACAGGTGCCCAGGTCTCCCATCTGGGCGGGGATCCTGGACACACAAACTCCTGGTCCTTCAGTGCTGGCCACCGGCCGGACTCACTGGCCACGTGGCCTTTTTCTAATGCAGCGGAACAGAAGGAAAGAGAGTGTCTCATGCCATCAGATGAGCCCTGCGTGCAGAAAGCCCAGGTCCACAGCAGAGCACCGACATGGAGGCCAGCAGTCCCGAGGCAGCAGTGGGTCCAGCTGAGCTGTGAGCTCAAGAGGAGGCTTCCTCCCACTGACAGCCTCCTCGGGAAAAGCCACGTCTCCAAATGTGGCCCTTCAGGAAAACGAGGGCAGAAGAGCTGCCTGCGACCTGCCCTCCCCGCCGGGATCCAGGAGCAGAGCTGGCCCTCCAGCAGCCTGGCAGTCAGGCCCTGCCCAGGACGGGGCACCCTGCCCGCAGGACCGGCGCCTGGGTTTAAAATGAGCCTTTGCCCGAGCGCTCGCTCCACTGGCTCTTGAGAAGTGCTCACCAGGCCACTTTCCAGACCCCTCCTCCAAGGTGCTGGTGGCCATCCCCGTGCCCTGTCCACAGGCTGCCTCTCATGAACCCTCAGCCACAGGGTGCCTTCCTGTAGCTTCCCCGCACCTCCCTGGACACCTCGACATTCCTAGGTGCCCTCACTCCTTTAACACTGATTAAATGCCAACTCTTGTGCGCTCAGTACAGTGCGAGGTGCCTCCGTAGTTCCTCAGCGAAATGGTACAGCCTCCCCAGACCCACTTCCAGTGGAAACAGAGAAGGTTCTACTCTAGGAGATCCTGTTTCTCTTAAAGTCCTTCAGGGCCTTTGGGCAGAACGAAGGCCCTTGTGGGAGCTGACCCCACCTGGCAGGCACCAGCGGGCGCTGACCCCGCTGGGAGCAGTGGGCTCCCCACCCCCTCCCGCAGGGTCCTCCGAGCCTGGCCTCCGCTCTCTGTGCTCTGCTGAACTCTGGACCACCTGACCTGCACCTCCACAGGCCAGTCTTTTCCATTAATTCCCTTGCAAGTGCCTACCCACACGTGGGAATTTGCAGATTCACTTAAATGTGACCTTCCCTGGGGTTTTAAAACCACGCCTCTTCCTTTCCATTTAGTGGCTCTGAAGGGAGCCTTCTCCTACCCCTGCACGCAGCAGCATCAGCTCCCTCCAAGAGAGCCTGTGCAAATGGCGTGTTATCTTCCCGACACGTCTCTGCAGCTGCGTGTGATTCCTCGGAGGCCGCTGTGCTCGGCCTGTGCACACGCAGGTGGTTGCTGGTTCACAGCAGGGCTCCGCACTTCATGGGGGTTAGCACTCAGCCTCCGCCTCCCCGGGGCAGTCTCCCCGCCGCTCCCAATGTCGGCAGTGCACGCTGAGTGATGACTGAGCGGTGCCAGGGTTCAGCCTCCCTCGGGGCTGTGGCGGTGCTGGTGGGTGTCCAGCCGCCCTCTCCGTGTGGCTATCCCCTTGGCCCACAGGCGAAGCTGCACCAGCATCACTGCATCCTCACGACGAAGCTCCTTTCTGCGGGGTGGCCTGATTCCCAGGAGAGAAGGTTCTTGGGCAAAGATCCTACACCACTTCAGTTTTACCAGCTGCCACCAGACTGCTTTCCAAACAGCTGGCCCTCTAGACAGCTCTACTCACATTAGTGTACAAATTTTTCCTTTGATGGAATTTGCTTTTCATGTCAAATCAATGAACTCTTTACCTAACTCCAAGTTAGCAAGGTTTTGGCCTGTGTTTTAATCTCAAAATTTCATACTTTTATATTTTACATTTAGACCTATGGCCCATTGTTTGAGTTCATCTTTATGTAAGTTATGGGTTTAGATCAAGATTCCTTTTTTTTTTGCTGGTGATTATCAGTCGTTCCCACACTATATGTTGAAAAGACACCCTTCCTCTCCCTCTGTGCCTTGTCAGATCGGCAGCCGTGTGCGTGAGGACTGATTTCTGGGCTCCGTCTGTTCCATCGACTGTGTGCCCAGCCTTCCCAACACCGCGCTGCCTTCGTCACTGCGACTGCAGAGCCAGTGTTCCAACTGGGTATGCTTCTTTTTCGTAATTGTTGCAGCGATTCTCATCCTCTCACCTTCACACATAAATTTTAGAATCGGCTTGTCTGTATCTACAAAAAGTCTTGCTGGGATTTTGATGGGAATTGCAGTTAATCTATAGATCAGTTTAAGGAGAACTGATACCTGTACCATGCTGAGGCTTTCCACCCATGAACACAGTATGTCTCTCCGTTTATTTGTCTTAAAACTTCTTCCTTGTTGGGGGGAGGGTATAGCTCAGTGGTAGAGTGCATGACTAGCATGTACGTGGTCCTGGGTTCAATTCCCAGTACCGCCATTAAATTTTTTTAAATTAAAATAAATAAATAAACCTCATTACTTCCCCTCCCAAAAGGAATCACTTAAAAAAAGAAATGCAAAAACTTAAAAAAAAGTCTACCTTCAGAATTTCATAGTTTTCAACACAGAGAAATCCACTGCATGTTTTCTGCAGATATGCACCTAGTATTCGGTACTCTGGGAGCTATTCTATGTTTTATGTTTAAAATTCCTGGTTTCCAGTTTTGATCTTTCTGTTGCGATCTTGCATGCAACTTGTGCAGTTGTCCACCAGCTTTTCTCACACAGTCTTTGGAATTTTCTCTACAGATAATCACGTCATCTGTGAATGAAGACAGTTTTATTTCTTCCTTTCCAGTCTATGTATTTCCATTTCCTTTTCACTGGAGTGGCCAGGACTTCCAGTATGATGTTGAATCAAGATGGTGAGAGCACACTTCTTTGTTTTGTTCCTGATTTCAGGGCTAGAGCTTCCACTTTTGTCATTACCTGTGACGTAAGCTGTAGGCTTCTTTGCATGACCCTTATCTGGCTAAGTTCCCCTTGATCTTATTCTACTGAGAGTTCGTGTCATGAATGGGTGTTTGACTTTGTCAAATACTTTTTCTGCATCAGTTGATATGATGTGTGATCATTTTCCCTAAACAATGAACGTCAGGGGTTGTGATGATAGAGTTCAAGTCATGA